GCTCCCCCTCTCCTGTCTGGCTCTCTAAACAATTCCCCCTCCACTTACTCTCTTGGCCCTGAACTCCCCCACCCCCGCCCCATACACACCTGCCCAGGAACCCAGCCCCCTTGTACTGTGTCCTGACAACCTCACACCTGCCTGGGACCCAGGTGATTCTCCCTCTCCCTTTGTCTCATGAAGGGGAACTCTGGTGTTCCCAATGCCCATGTCCCCAAGTCCCTTCCTGTCTGGGGCAGGAGAGCTTTATTAAAATTGGAATTGTGATCCCATTTAAATAGGCTTTGTTTTAAATAATATATACCTTTATATTATATATATATATATATATACCTTTAAAATTAAATAAAAATTGTTATGGCCTACATTTATCATAACCCATTTAAATAATTTATTAATTAAATTTAAAAATTAAATAGAACATGTCTCCTGTCAACTTTTAAAGACATTCTACCAGTTTGCTAGTGTAAGTACACAGAACCAGTGTTTACATCAGCAGTAGCTTCTTCTGCAGGTGAAGAGAGAATGTTTTTATCACTTTGGTTTATTTAGCTGATTCAATTCAATGATTAGTTCATTCATTTAAATAATTTATTAATTAAATTTAAAAATTAAATAGAACATGTCTCCTGTCAACTTTTAAAGACATTCTACCAGTTTGCTAGTGTAAGTACACAGAACCAGTGTTTACATCAGCAGTAGCTTCTTCTGCAGGTGAAGAGAGAATGTTTTTATCACTTTGGTTTATTTAGCTGATTCAATTCAATGATTAGTTCATTCACTGTTGCAAAACTGAGAGTTGAGGAAGCAAAAAAACCTGTTTTCCTCTTCTCTCAGTAAAAAACTTGTTATGAGAGCGTTCTAACATCTTGAAGAACATGATGACTAGATTCGATCTGTTAAATTCACTATGGATATTTCCTTTGTTTAATAAATTAATTTTAGATGCAAAATGTGTTTGGATACTTTTTCGTTATGTGTCCTTCACATTTAAGGTAGTTTTATTTCATACAAAAATTAAATGCTGGTTTTGTTTATTTTAAATAGAATTTCCTTCCAGACAGAAGTAGATGCAAATCATATGTTTTAAAAAAAGTAGCCACCACTTAGCAAATAATAAATGGTGTAAAACCTGTCTCTTAAGTGTTCCTATTACACACCATTTTGTAATAGAATAAAAATGTAAAAATTAAGAATCTGATTACATGTAAGTTACATAATTATTTGGGCATTTATTTAGTTGGTAGTTGTACTGAGTATACTCTCCTGTTTAATAAATAGAAGCACCAAATTTGGCATAAAGGTTATATTTAGTTGTAAATCAACATGTTTTAAAGGTTGCTAATCAATAAGACTCAATCACCCTTTAGGAAAATATTTTAAAAATATAATTTAAATGATTAATTGTGCATTTAAATCTAGGTTTTCTGCTTGCCGGTTTAAATCATGATTACAATTAGAGATTTAAGTAAAATCTATTTAAATCAATCCACCCTGCTTCAGAGGCTGTTTGGTCCGTCCCTGAAGGAGAAAGCACAGGGCTGCGCTCATGGAATAGGTCTTAGGCTAGTGGGGTTTTGTTGTCTGGTGCCTGTCTTATTCTGGACAGTTGAGCTGGGGAGTTGAAACAAAAGTTCTCTTAATCCCTTTGAACTGTCTCATTGTATAGTGAGTCTGATTCTTGTCCATGGATACCAAGAGTTGGACAGCTTATGTGTTGGGGTTGGAGCCTGAGTGATTATAAGGCTTCTAGTAATAAAATCCCTTTGTAGAGTAAGGAGTGGGACTGGGACTCCAGCACTAGGTGATGTGAACAGCTGCATGCTTTGGAAGTTGTTAACTGGCTTGCTGTGGATGAACGTCCCCTCCCATTGTCCTCACGTGGGGAGTCCCTAGCAATCTCCTAGGAGATGAAAATGCCCCGGGGTTTGGGCTCCCCCTGAAGCGTGCAACCCACCCCCCAGGAAACCGCACAAGCTGCATTTCTGCGCACACCCCTAACAAGATGTGCAAGCTGCATTTAACGCGGACCCTACCCGGACAAAAAAAGAGTGGGGGCTGGCCAAAATTTTTTTTGCTTTGTGCGGCAAAAAACCTAGACCTGGCCCTGAATGTAAGACAGTATCAGAATTAAATCTGAGGAGATTTGCCTTCTTTCCCATGCTGAAATGAACTTAAGCAGTGAACCTCTTCTCTTAGCCTCAGAATTCCTATCTATAATATCAGGATGAAATGTATTGCTTACCCATGTGTGTCTGGAGACATCTCTTGTACCATAGAATTTTTGGATTTTATGTATGGTATTTTTATTTTATGTATGATTTTTGCCCTCTGACAACTTTACTCCTTTAAAGAAGTGACCTTGTATTGTAAGTGAGGGAAACATCCTATTTACAGCCCTTTTCCTTTACAAGGTCTCTCTTATCCTATGCTAATCAAAATCAAGACATTTCGTGGAGACTGTTGGATTTTGATGCAGTTGTGATGGGAAACATTGTTTACTGGCAGATCATCTTCCTGCTCAGAAGCCCACCAGCAAACTGACAAAAAACCAAGATTTCAGAAATGTTGGTATCTGAGCTCCCACTCTCCAGCTTCCCTACAGCTTGTCAGCCAGTCTGATGAGGATCCAAAAGCCTGGGTTCCCTGGCTCCTATGCCCATAAGATATTGTCTACAATGGAATTGCAGCCTCTCAGTTTCCCATCAGCCCAGCAGGCACAATAACAAGTGGCTGGAAGTCGGGAAGCCCTGGCTGGCTCCCAGGCTTGTGATGCCATGGTGTAACCCAGACACATTTAGGGTATCTCTAGACTACAGGCTTTTTTCCAAAAATGTGGCCTTTTTTCAAAAAAAACTTCACCTGCATCTAGACTGCTGTCGTGTTCTTTTAAAATTAAATAAAAAGAATGCGGCAGTTTTTTCGAC